GACTGTCTAGTGTTTATAATGGGGGGGGGATGGTCTGAAGGGAGGCTTTAACTAGGCCGAGAGGGGGGGGTCTGAAGGGAGGCTAAAACTAGGCCAAGGTCGCCGGTCTCTGTAAAGCCGGGAGGGGGAGGACGAAATATAGAGATCCCTGGCCTCCAAATATTGAGGATAAAGAATATATATAAGAACTCAAACAAAAACCTTCTACTTCCTGGTTTACTACTTAGAAACAGGGATAGATATATCTTTTAATAAAAATCCTCTAAATGTATGTTAAAATCCCCCCAAAGTATACACATATTCTTGAACTAAAAATATACTTGTTGATCGGATTTTTGACAACTTAAAAATTGGCCAAGGATGTATTAAGAATGGTTCTCGTTGTTTTGTGTACTATGTAGGTTTTTGCTGAGGTGTTATAAGGTCATGATATTAGAGAAAACTGAACTAAATTGCGTATTAATGATCAGCTGATTTTTGGCCTGGCTGCCTGTTTCTAAGTTGTTTTTGTTGCTATGACCTGATTTTTTTTGACTAGAAAAGACATATGGAATTTAATTTTAACGCCATCAAAAACCGGTATTTTTTTTTGGGGGGGGGGGGGTTGGAGTGGGTACACTTAGAAATGGTGAATCTCCAACAACGAACCCCCTTTATCTCTACCAATATATGTCTGTTTCATAATTCTAGTAAATTCTGTTGCGCAATAAATAATTGCGTAATTTTCTTGAACTTCAGTTGTTGACTAATCGTGAAACATTGAAGAGGGGTTTAGAGCGTTGCCTTAAGACTTTAAAAAGCTCTAATAAAATACAGGTCATGTTTCTACAGAGTAATTTTTCATTTTATAATTTAGAACGTTTGATAATGATCGATCTACCAATCCCCTCCCCTCCCTCCACCCCTCTTTCCGAGCTAGGGGATGATGTCTCAATCTAACTATGTTACTAATTCAGCCTCCGTAGCAGCTTTCCCTTCCGCTATAGTTCTCTTATTAGTACTGTATAGAGGTTTCAGACACGAATATTTCAATATAGTCCACTCCCTCCCTCACGCTCCAACACTCCCTTACTCTCTTCCTCAATTCACACTCACTCTTTCACTTACTCACCCTTCTCACATTGACTACCACACTCCGTTCCTCTCATACTAACTCTAACACCCTCAATCGGACTCTCTTATTACCTTACTCGGAACGCATCCACTCCCTGACACCCTTACTCCCTCACACACTCTCAATTCCTCACCCACCTTTTCATTCTCACTTACTCAATCCCAATTTCTCACTCCCACTTACTCACTCCCATTTACTCACTCCTACTTACTCGCAAACTCTTCTCTCTTTCCCTTCCTCAAACTCCTCTGACATACTCATTTGGCTCTCCATTTCTTACTTATTACTGACTTCCCATCTGAACACTCACTCATTTAACTTCTAAATACTCACTTATTAAACTTCTATAAACTTCCCATGCCTGCCGGCGGTCTGGGGGGGTTCATAACGGGACCTCTTTTTCAGATTTCTTTTCTAATAGTTTCTAATAATAATCACTTATTTAACTTCTACAATACTCACTTATTTAACTTCTAGAATACTTACTTTTTTAACTTCTAGAAATCTCACTTACTACTAAAATTTGCCTTTGTTAAGTTGCAAAACAAAGAACACCGTTCAGTGCTCTTTTTTATGGCGTCACATTTTTTATACAAAAATTACCACATGAATAATTGATTATTTTTTCAGATTTGATCTCTTACAGTTGGTTGAAAAATCGGGCATTTTTTACGCGGTTAAACTAACCCTTCATCACGACGGCTGGAGTTATTAGGTAAAAATTTCTTCTTTTTTTTAAAGAAAAGAGAGAATGATTTTTTTTCTCATAAAACTTGAAAAAATGATGTTTTTACTTACCAAACTTGAATCAAGTGAATTTTTAACTTACCAAACTCTAAAATTCGATATTTCATATTTTTAACTTTCCTTTTCTTCTCATAAAGATTCATCCTGTTGTGAAAGTACAGTGTTTCCCACAAAGGATAAGTGTTAAATTCACGGATTCCTGCGAAAGTATCTTGATTTAATCTTTGTCAAATTAGACATTTGCAGGTCGTCATTTATCGTTCATCTTCTGTGGATACCCACTACCCCGTCCCGTACAATATACATCTTCCATTTATAATTTTTTTATTTCAATTTTTAATAAGTTATATATTTTTATTTTATTTTTATATTTAAATTTAGGGCCGGGGGAGTCGCTCGTCCGGCCAGCGGTGCAGAGCATCCTAGTGCCCATCAACAGCGAAGGTAATTACTCATTATTTATTTATTTTTAGCGATATTTAACCCTTTTTCTCATAAAAATATGGATTTAAAAAAAGTAGTAACAGTAGCTGCTATCATCTGATTACTTGTACAATTTAAAAATAAAATTTGTTAAAACCAATATTCTAAAATGAATGTTAAAAAATCTTTTTTAGCCTTTTTAATTTCTCGTTATTTTATGTATTTAACTGCTGCAGTTTGTCTAGATTTATTGATTATCAATTCATATTAATAAGTTTTCTGGTTTTTTTTTTGTAAAGAATATTTCTAAGTTTGTAAACAACAGTATTTCAATGTAAATATGACTGTGATAAATACGTAGATAATTCGTCCCTTCGTCCTGTAGTGTTTGCATTAGATTAAACTAGTGACTAATTTTAGCTAATTCTTATTCATACATGTTGTCACTTTAAGTTAATGAAATTTATGAGATGGGATAAGGTTTGAAAAATTCTAAATTGGATTTTAAACGTTGAAAAAATCATGATTAGCTGAACAAAATTGCTAGCTTTGCTAGTATTGCTAGCTTCTCATTAATTTGTAATTAATATAATCCTTATAAATCCGTCAATTTCTGGAGTTAAATCTGCGAATTTTGATCTGAACAAAATATCGCAATATCAAGATTGGAGGAATCTTGTTATAAAACTAGGAATATATTTTTTATTTTAATTTAAGATGGATTGCTCCTTCCACGCTTAGACGAGACGTACTCTCCCAAGACAGTCAGCATAATGATTTCGTTTTCCGCAGGGTCCGCGGGATCCTTAACAAGGTAACACCTCCCTTTTTTTGATGCTCGGGGGTAAATGTGAAAAAATGCAAGATTTGTCCATCCCTTTCATAGGTTTTACCCTTATTTTCTCAATTATTTCCCCCTATTTAGCAAGTTTTACCTTAACATGATTTTTCAAGAATGGGGTGGGGAATTTTAAGAAAATAAAGCCTGTGGTAAAATGATTTTTTTACTTAAGATCATAAGCAATAGTACATCAATGTATTTTCTATGTACATCTTTAAATATTTACTCGGGAAAAGATGATTTAATTGATCTTCATTTAAAACCGGCTGAAGACAAAGAGAATATAATACATATTAGAGGGGAATTTAGAGAATCTCTCGGTATGAATTTTTTCAGTCCCTTTCAGCCTGAAAGGGAGTTCATAGAATACAAATCATGTAAATGTTCACAAATTATATGCAGTAGAGTACATTAATACAGTATGTTCCCTAGACTATTTATTTCAATTTCGAATTTTTTAAGCTGTTAGATAAACTTCATATAATGACTTAGGTGAAAAAAAAACATCATATGATTTATAGTTATAACGGAAAATCATCGTTAGTAAACTGAAAGTCATAGAGTCTATGTGAAATGATCATTGGTCAATTATGAAACCAGCCTATTTCATAATTTGGTTCATATGGGTTCTCTCAGAAAATTTCAGCCAATTTTGTACAGCCGTTTGGCCATCTATAGCTAATATATAAATATATTTGAACGAATATTTTTATTTTATATCTAAATTAATCGATACTTTGTTCAGATTACGCCGGAAAAGTTTGAAAAGTTGAGTTCTGACATTCTTAACATCATTGGCCACGGGTCACCAACTATCTTCAAGGGCGTTATTCTTCTGGTAAGTGAGAGTTAGATTTTAATTACAAATCTCATACTAGCATTCTTTTATTATGTATGATGTTAAATTTTGTGAAATGTAAAGTGAATTTTTAAGAATTAAGTTTTGTTGATAAGACGTATTCAAGGGTTGTTGACTTAATTCAACATTTTAAATTGTGATTTTGAGCGAGGTTTTAAACCTTAATTCTGATTTTTTTTCGTGAACCAATTTCTAAGATTTTCTTTTAAATATTGTTACCAAGTTTAATACTACCAAGAAAGATTTTTTGCCAAATTGTCGCTAACATCTTAGATCATCTAATTTACTCAGTGGTGTGTAATTTCTTGAAAAATCATTTCCGAAATTCTTGAATTAACTGAAAATCAAACTGTGAAAAATTATTACTTTTGGTTTAGATCTTCGAAAAAGCTCTCGATGAACCGAAATACAGTTCTATGTACGCACAGCTGTGCAAACGGCTGGAAGAACAGGCGCCTAACTTTGAATCACCAGACACTAAGGTAATTAACAACTAATTAATGATTAATTGATTAATAATTAAAGGGACTGTGGACAGAATTTCAAGTGACCTTTTTTTTCTAAGTGGCATGTATGATTACACCGGTACCCTTTAAACCACAGGGTGGCCAAAATGTACGGATTGTACGGATTTTTTTGTGACCCTAAAATTGTACGGGTTGTACGGATTTTTTTTCAAATTGTACGGGTTGTACGGATTTTTATCCTGGAAATGCACCGTTTTATTAATTTAATCATTTCAGCAAATTTTTCATGAAAATTTCAAAAAAAATTCTCGTCAAAATGAAGTTAGTTTAACTTATTTTCTGCATTCTAAATAATATTAGATTGATTAATGTTTCAATTGACAGTCAAAATTTATTAATAATTTTCGAGAATTGTCCCAGAAGTGTTCATTTGAGAATATGTTCCAGAAGTGTTTATTGAGCAGACCCAGTTTAGAATTTTAGTGTGGAAGAACCAGTTAAGAATATGGTGTAGCAGACCCAGTTTAGAATATAGTGTGGCAGTCCAAGCTTAGAATATGGATTTGCAGACCCAGTTTAGAATATGGTGTAGCAGACCCAGTTTAGAATATGGTGTAGCTGACCCAATTTATAATATGGTGTAGCAGACTTAGTTTAGATTATGGTTTTGCAGACCCGATTTAGAATATGGTTTTGCTGACCCAGTTTAGAATATATTATATATTGTATAACAGATCCAGTTTAGAATAAAGTGTAGCAGATCCAGTTCAGACTGTAGTTTAGCAGACCCAATTAAGAATATAGTGTAGAAGACCCAGTTAAGAATATAGTGTAGCAGACCCAGTTTAGACTGTAGTGTAGCAGACCCAGTTAAGACTGTAGTGTAGCAGGCCTAGTTAAGAATTTAGTGTGGCAGACCCAGCTTAGAATATGGTTTTTCAGACCCATTTTAAAATATGGTGTAGCAGACCCAGTTTAGAATATGGTGTAGCACACCCAGTTAAGATTATGGTTCTCCATACCCAGTTAAGAATATCATATGTACGGATTGTAGGGATTTTTTTCGAAAATTGTACTGATTGTACGGATCAACCATGTGGAAAATATCTTTAAACGTGTTTAATTCCGACTATTTCCTCAATAGCTTTTGAAGCAAAAATCATCAGAAAACCACATTTTAATGTTTTAAATATCTAGAGTACCACATTTTAACGTTTTAAATATATAGATTACCACATTTTAATGTTTTAATTATCTAAGAGTACCACATTTTAACGTTTTAAATTATTTAGTTTACCACCTTTTAATGTTTTATGATATTTAGATTACCAACTTTAAACCTTATATAATATCTAAATTACTGCCTTTAAACGTTTTATATTGTCTAAATTGCCACCTTTAAACGGCTGTTGCTTAAACGGTTACTATTGCCTAGATTACCACCTGTAAACGGCTGTTGCTTAAACGGTTAATATTGCCTAGATTACCACCTGTAAACGGCTGTTGCTTAAACGGTTAATATCGTTAACACATTTAAACGGCTGTTGCTTAAACGTTTTATATCGTCTAGATTACCACCTTTAAACGGCTGCTGCTTAACAAGTGCCGAGATGAGTTTGAGAATAGAGCTGCTGTTTCCGGAGCTTTTGAGAAGAGAGCCGGAAACCTCACAGGTACAGGGATATCCATAAATTATGGATTAGTAGGGTCAAGATTATAAAAAGGCCAATAAAACGGGGGGGGGGGGGGGGGGGCAATTCGACACTTTGTGACACCAAATTTTGTACAGGCTGCGTTTGGTCCTAATAATTGAGATAGAAGGCTGTAAATTTGCATGCAGCCACTGAATGTGGTCATCTACGTAGATTGACCTCCATTTTGACCTCCATTAACCTAGAAAATACAGAAAAAAAAATTCCACTTTTTTCACTTAAATTCAATTATTGTACAAAATTTCTTGTCTCAAAGTGTCGAATTGGCCCCCCCCCTTTGAAAATTGTGCAGTGAAAACAGACCCATTTAATTTTTTCTTTTTTTTATTAGAGCTTTAATCTTTTTTAATGTGATTTTTTTTTTAAGCTGAAGAAGAGGAGTCGCGCTTCATCGCGAAGCGGAAGATGTTGGGCAACATCAAGTTCATCGGAGAGCTCGGCAAGCTCGAGATGCTCCACGATTCTATCCTCCACCGATGCTGCGAGCAGGTTAATTTTTCGTTGAATTTAAAATTATTTTGTGCGCATTTTTACACAAACTTGATATTAATCCCAATCTTTAAATTTGAATCTTGAACTGAGGAGGTAATTTCAAGTAACCCTCTACTCATTGTGTGACATGTCAATAATAAAATGATCCATTTTCAGCTAGAAAGATAAGGATACCATGTGCATCCCTGCAGTTGAGAAGGTATGAAATGTACCGTATTGGATATGCAACTCTGTGGAAAAGGTTCACTTGAAATTCCACAAACAGTTCCTTTATTTGAGTTGAAGTCTTTAATATATTTATTTAGTTGTTGGTCGGAAGAAAACGCCAGCCAATTAGCGAACAAGGCGAAGATCTGGAGTGCATGGCGTACCTCTTCAAAACCTGTGGCAGGATACTCGATACACAGAAGGTAGGGACTAGTTAAGACACTAGAGGACTACAAATGGCATCAGCGGACTTAATGGGACATTGGAGGACTTTAGACATTATTGGACTCTTACTTAAACAGATGGACTTACTCGGACATAAAAGAACTTATTTGGCCATGGATAGACTTGTTTGGATTTAAGCAGACTTATTTGTACATTAATGGATTTATTTGAAAATAAGCAGATATGTTTGAACATAAGTTGACTTTTCGGAACATTAGAAGATGACTTATTGGAACATTAGAGGACTTATTGTAACATTAGAGGACTTATTGTAACATTAGAGGACTTACTGGAAAATCAGAGGGTTTACTGTAATATTAGAGGACTTAATGTAACAATTGAGGACCTAATGGGACAATGGAGGACTTTATGGGACAAAAGAGGACTTTACGGGACATTAGAGGACTTTACGGGACATTAGAGGACTTTGTGGGACATTATAGGACTTAATGGGACATTATAGGACTGACTGGAAAATTAGAGGATTTTATGGGACAATAGAGGACTTCATGGGACAATAAAGGACTTTATGGGACAATAGAGGACTTTATGGGACAATAGAGGACTTTATGGGACAATAGAGGACTTTATGGGACAATAGAGGACTTTATGGGACAATAAGAGGACTTTATGGGACAATAGAGGACTTATTGGAACATTAAAGTACTTAATATAGCATTTGAGGACTTTATAGGACACTAGCTGAAGTGCCCAGCTTTGCTCGTGAAATTTTATGATATATAAAATCGACTTGATAGGACATTAGAGGACTTGATAGGACATTAGAGGACTTGATAGGACATTAGAGGACTTGATAGGACATTAGAGGACTTGATTGGACATTAGAAAACTTGATTGGACATTTGAGTACTTGATTGGACATTAGAAAACTTAAAAGGACATTAAAGGAATTGGGAATTAGTTGGGACTTGGTGAAAAAAGTTAGGATGGTAACTGTGATTCATTTTTATTTGTTTAGGCGAAGTTACTCATGGACCAGTACTTCGATAGAATTAGGAGTATCATAGCGAATGCTGACTCCCCAACTAGGATCAAATTTTTACTACAGGTAGCTAGTGCATTCTCATTCAATACCTCATTTATTTGTATTGTTCAGACGTTCTTTTATTAGCCAATTTTTTAATTTACTACCTTATTTATATATTTACTTGATCATTTGTTCATATACTAGCTCATGTAGTTCTTTAATAGCTCACTTACTCATTAGCTCATTTGTTTACTTGTTTACTACCGGTTTTATTCATTCACAAACTTAGTTATTCATTCAGTAACTTACTTATCAATTTAGGAGCTCATTTATTCATTTAATAGCTCACTTATTCATTTAAATACTCATGCATTCTTGAAAAAGCTCATTTATTGCTAATGCTAACTAATTTATTATAAGCTCATTCATTCTTACAAAACTCGTTTATACATTTAAACGCTCATTTGTTCATTTATTCATCATTCACATTTGTTTTCCAACTTATCAGTGTGTATTTCAGGATGTGATTGAAATGCGCGAGAACAAGTGGATGCCCAGAAAACTGGCAACTCATGACGGTCCACGAACTATTCAACAGGTCGGTTATAATTTATATCAGATGAACACAACAATGCATATAAAATCTAACTACATTTGTTGTCTTAAAAGAAAATTGTTTCAGTTTATTTTTAATTTTTGGTAAATAAAAAGTAAAAATACGTTTTAATGTAAGATTGAAAAGGTTCCTTTATTTTTGAAAATCATTTTTCTTATTCTAGGTGCGCGAAGATGCTGCCCGAGACGGTTGCATCTATCTCCCCCAACATGAGAATAATATGGTAAAGAAAACCAACTCCCCCAGCAGGCTTCAGGAGGTTCTCTTCTCTAAGTCCAGGAACAAGGGGATGGAGGACATCTTCGGAGGCCCTGGGTTCCAAGGACCAACAAGTCTTGGCACAGGTCCCGGTGTTATTGGCGGAGAGACAGATGTCTACGGTTACGACTCCTACAGGAACAGTTCTTCTTTCGAGGAAAAGTTCAATGCCAACAACTCTGCGTACAACAGGGACGAGTCCAGAGATCATCGGGACTTTAAGCCCAAACGTGACGGGTTCGAGAGTAAGTTTGCTGAAAGGCCTGACTTTGGTGACCGGTTCACGGCAAACCGTAACAAGACCCATCCCAGCAACCGTGGGCGGGGAGGAGTTGGAGGTGGAGGCGGAGGGATGACAAGAACCAACGGTTACGACAAGAATGGTATCTCGCCTCATAATGGGGAGAAGGATCTTCCACCCAGGTTCAAGAAAATGGGTTTCGGATCGGACCGGGATCAGCCGCCTCTTCGGCCATCAGCCAACTCAATGATGTTGAAGCCTAAGACTCCGTCAAGTTTGCCAAAATCGGCGATGCAGCGGCTTGAAGGCGGGATGATGCAGAACATGAGCAGTCCTAAGGTTATGATGTCGCCCTCTGAACCAGCGGTTTTTATCTCCAAGCAGAGCGGAGATAAGAAAAGGCAGGAAAAGAAAAACCAGGGTCCTACCAGAGATGAAGTATTCAAGAAGATTGAGGAGATATTAGAAAAGCTTGTGGAGACTGAGAGCACCAATGAAGCGTTCACCACCTGGAAAGAAGGGGATATACCCAACAAGATGGTTAATAATGCTCTCATCCACTTCTTCAAGCAGGTTGTAAAGATGGAGAATAAGTCGACTCGAGACCTTTCACTCCAACTTGTTGAACAGCTCTGTGACAACGAAGTGGTGACACAGGTTCACTGCAAGGAGGGTTTATCTCGTCTGATTCAGTCCTACCCCACCCTGGAGATGGCTGAGGGTGGAATGGGAGAACTCTCTGTCTGGTCCATCAAGTCAGATAAAGTCAAGCTTGCTGACGTCGGAGAGATGACTGAAGGAGGGTCAAGCTATCCTCTCTTCTTCAATGTCCTTCAGGGGCTAGCTACAGATAGCGAGGATGAACTATTAGCTCTATTCAAGGATTCAGGTTTGAACCTTATGGAACAGCTGCCCCAGGATCAAAGAACTGAGTCTGGCTTAGGAGTTCTCCTGGAGGAAATGAAGCTTAGCTTCCTTGTCCCTCTGCTTACCATAAACACGGAGATCTGGAAACAGTTGGAAACCAATCCTGGTCCTGAGGAGTTTCTCGCCTGGATCAAAACTAAAGTTCCGGCGGAACATCATTCCGACCCGGCATTCGTCTTCGCTCTCATGGGCAACATTCTCAAGTTTATTACAGAGAAGACAAAGTCGGTCGAGGACAACGTCCAGGAGGTCACAGATCTGGAGAAAGAACTGATCCTCAAGTATCACGTGGTTCTGCAGACTTTCTTCAAGCGGTCAGCTGACCTCCAGTTGGTCGCAATCTACGCTCTGCAGGTCTTCTGCTTTAACAACAAGTTCCCGAAGGGTTTGATGCTGCGTTGGTTTGTTGCGCTCTACGAAGCTGATATTATTGAGGAGCACTCATTCCTCCGTTGGAAGGAAGATGTCAATGATATGTATCAAGGAAAAGGGAAAGCCCTGTTTCAGGTAAAAAAAAGCTAGAGATATGAGGTTTGTTTATAATTATATTTAACTGACGTATTAGGATTGAATATTTCACTAATTCACTTGTTTCTGTGAAACGACATAATGATTTTCTGTTAAATATATTTATAATATAATAAATATTATTCCTGTGCTAGGTGAATCAATGGCTGACCTGGCTGGAAGAAGCCGAGTCGGAAGAAGAAGAAGAAGATGAAGAGTGAAAGAAAAAGGAGGAGTAGATAAAGAAGAAAGAAAATGAAAGAAAAAATGAACTTAAGCTCCCCTGTGAAGTGACTTGAACTTTTCCCCTTCGATTTCACAATTTTCGCGCATTTTCTTGTGTACACAGTGTACTCATGTACACGTTGCAACCCCCTTGTGTACTAACTTGCTTGTAAAACGTGTATGTTAGACCCGTAAACCTCACGGATTGTTTTAGCCGATTTGTTATCAATTTTCTAGGTACAATATTCAATTTAATTCTGTGGAAAAGTTAATTATTTTAAAATTTTCGACATACAAGGATTGGGGTTTATCCGCGATCCCTGATGTATCTCAATAAACTGATGGTTAAGTAAATATTTGTTTTGTAAACATGCAGTACGATTTATCTTGAGAATGAACTAGATAAAGAATTTAAGGTTGCTAATAATTTTGAAGATCTATTTCAATTTGAAAAGAGAATTTTCAGAGGATTCCAAATCAGTGATTTTTAAATAATAATATTTGTAATTGTTAGAAAATTTATCCTTTTCAAGTTGAAATTGAGAATTTTTATCTACAATGATCTAATGCAGAAAACGTTAATATTAACTTTATATTGAAGTCTGAGAGTCTTTATCTTAATTGTTTTGTTTTTTAGAGTCTTGTATGTAATGTATACTGGGAGTAGATTTAAAGGGAGTGGTCGGCAACTTATGATTAAACTGATATTACAGTTTTATTTTGAAGTGTGTTATGGTTCATTTCATGAGACTTATCAGACGATTTTACGTTATGTATTTGTTCAGCAAGAGCGCGAATTCAATATTTAAAATTCTCATTATTTGTCCATTTTGGAGGTATGATTTGAGAATCGGTTTTTTAAAAATTATTCAAAAACGACGAAGAAAAATGTAACAAAGTTTCTACAGTAAACTAATAAACTTAATAAGATGTTTAGGAACATATGTCTAGAAATTTGTCAATCGATGTTAGAATCTAATTTCTTTTATCATTTTATAAACGTGTTCGTAGATTTATTCAAATACTTCAAATGTCGTATTTTCATTTAAATATCTAGGAAATCTTCAGAAAATGGTTTTGAATATTGACACATTACAGAAACCAATAACTGAATTAAATTACTTATTTTCGATGATTAAGAGTCATTTTTTATTTTCTCATTCTTGCTGAAGAATTTTTTGTTACTTTTTTCGTGCTCGTCATTGAATAATTTTAAATAAAACTGATTCTCAAAATCATCCCTGCGAAATGGACAATCTATGAGGATTTTAAAGATTGAGTTTGCGCCCTTTCTGATCAAATATGCACAGTAAAAACGTCTGTTAGGTCTCAAATAAATCCTAAAAGTTGTTTCAACTGCAATTTCAGTTCAACTACCATATATTGCTGGTCACTTTTAACTAATCGTGAGATGATAGTTGAACCGCTTCTTTGTGTGCATCAAGTTCAACTTAATTTCGCTGTAAATTAAATTTGATACGAGATTCAATTTATTAAAAATTTTAATTTTGAAATATTTCACAACTGCCTGCTAAATTCTAAATAATGACGTTTTTATGATATTCATTAATTATTATCTCGATCTTTTAATGTAATCAATTAAAAAGTTTCAGAGTGAATGTTAAAAGATGTGAATCTTCAAATAATTATAGAAAAGATGCAGAAAAGGGTTGAAAAATAATCAGGTCTAAAGTGACTTACGTAAAATTGACGGTCAAATAGTTTATTTGTTTTTCAGGGGTGTAGATTTCCTCTAGGGGGGAGGGGAAAAAATTAGAAGAGGGAATTTATTTTGTATTCGCTGGTTTAACCCTCACAATGTTTTCGGAGCAATTGGCACAGACGTTTAGTTGGCTTGGCTCGTACAGGGTGTCCCATGAAACATGACAGTTGAGAGACTATACTTGAATATCGTCTTTGATCATAGATATTAATGTCGAAATAACTCGCATCTCAGATAATTTTGAAATGCAAAGGATAGGGCAATTTTGTGAATGATAAGTTTTTCGAGTATTAATGGTTTATGTTGGTGTTAAAGATTGGAGATAATCTAATATGATATGGGACGCTCTGTACTTAATACATATATTATGTAGTTCTAAAGGTTACAAGGCTGTTAACGATGCTATCCTGCTTGAATTACTCCCGTTTAAAATATTGTTCATTTGCACTATATTGTTCGTATTAACTACTGCACGTGGTACCACGTGCAGTAGTTGAAACATCTAATTGTTCAAACGAGTTTGTTGCATTCTCATGAACTATTTTTTTTTGTTCCTTTGAACTTTTTAAACATAAAGGTTAAGACCTTTAAATAGTAGAAAATTGACGAAAAATTATATGTTCAAATGAACAAAAAAATAGTTCAAATGAAGAAAAAACAATTCAAATCAACATAAAAAAAGCTCATGAACAAAAAATAGTTCAAGTTCAAATAAAAAAATTGTACAATGAACAAACAAAATAGTTATAAGATAAAGAAAAAAAAAACTTTGATGTTTTTCCACAATTTTATTTTGACTATTTTTTGTTCATTTTAACAAATTTTAGTTCATTTGAACAATTTTTTTGTTCATTTGAACATATATTTTTTTTGTTTATTTGAACTATTATTTTGTCCGTTTGAACTATGTTTTTGTTCATTTGAATTATATTTTTGTTATTTTGATTTTTTTTGTTCATATGAACTTTTATTTCATTGAAACTATTTGATGTTCATTTGAACTGTTATGTTCAAACTTCGGAACATTCTTATGAATTCATTGAGTCCAAACTTTAATCCTGAAAGAAATTACTTACTGCGATCTCAGTCCCATCTAGCGGTGTGTTTATAAAACTCAAAGTCACCGGTTTGTTGTGTACACCAACACCAGTCACCACCTCTCACAATAGAAAATTAAAGATGGTTAACTTTATTGGAGTTTGATTTGTTTTAAGACTGTTGGGATAATGGACGAGGGACTTTATTTAGACGGACAATATACCCCTTCATCGATTCTTGGATTTCAGGTTAAAAAAAATATTAATATTTTTAAGATCAAAAATAATAATTTAAGGAAAAAAAAAGGATTTATCATTGATGTACAATATTTTCTTGCAGGAAATATCAAGTTTTTCGAGTATGCATATTTTGGCGTTAAAGAAATAATCCATTATGATACGGGACACTCTGAATAACGCCTAAATTGTCGATATTTTCTCTCTTAAAATATATTGATTTGGTTTGCGGGTTCTCAAAAGTAACTTGCAGATTTTTACTGCAGAAACAGAGGAGAAAAATCACTTGTAGTTATAAAAACAGCGATATCGATGTGGTTTGACCATCCCACTTTATAAATTGAATTAATGTTCACAGTTCCTTTTTTTATTGATTTTGATAAATTTCTTGTTTTAGGAAAATGGAGATTACGGAGAGGTTGGTTTTCCCAATCCCTACTCAGAGGAATTTAGTGAAGCGTATCCAGAGGATCATGGAGAATTTCAGGTACCCCCTCCCCTGTTTCCTTTTTTTCCGGTACACCATTCTTGCATTATGAATTAACCCCCCCTCCTTCCTTCCCCTGAAAAAGAAATATCTAATTAGAATAAAACTTGCCTTTTAATGTCTAACTATTCATTTCTTCCCTTAGCATCGCCCCCTTGAAGATATTTGATGATAAAGTTAGTTTGTGTACAAAAAACGCAAACCAAATTAAGCTATTTAGACATTTAGGACTTCCAATTCAAAAAATGAAATCAATGTAGACAAATATGAGAACGTTTTTCATATCAATCAAACATTATATAGATCTACTGCGAGACATTAATTCCGTAGGATCAGAATTGGGGGAAAAAATTATCCTAGGGGATATTGAATGAATTTTTGGGTTAATTACTAAATAAATTTTTGAGTTAAACTAAATAAATGTTTGGGTTAAACTAAATTAATTTTTGGGTTAAACAAAATAAATTTTGGGGTGAATGTAAACTAAATAAATTTTTGGGTTAAAATAAAAAGTACCAAAAGGATTAAAACAACTTTCTTTTTGATTTATTAATATAAATGTACCCCTGAATAGAACTTGTTAAAAAAAATCCTAAAAGTTTCAAGAAAAATTTTGTCCGGGCTAAATAATTAATTTTTGTCCAAGAACAACTTCGTAGCACAAGAGAAAATGTCAATTGAACAAAAAGTCTTTTCGTCGCCATATATTTGGCTGTAATTTTTATATGTTTTTAATTTTTCTCTTGCTTTTTATTTTAATTTTAACTTTTAATTTTATGGTTTGGTAATAGTTTTCTTTTTCTTAAGTTTTATTTTCCGAAATTTATTCTCGTTAACATTAATTAAAAAATTATCAGTTTAACGCCTTCAAAGGGACAGTCTACCTAGGCTTTAGTGTCCTTTAATTTTATGCGTTTCAAGCCAGATTCACAACGGTACTTCTGATTAGCCCTTAGTTTCATAATGAGGAAGATATATTAGTATTTTTGTCATGAAAGGATATCATTTCTCTCAATTTCCTTCAACGAGACGCATTTTAAAAGATCCAGTATAAAAGTTATCAATTTATATTTTTTAATTTGATCATTTTTGCTCATACTAAGGTTTAAGGGTACCCGCGTTGTGAATCAAGCTTTTTCCTCTTTAAATGGAATTTCACTTGAAAATACGCCTTCAGTCTATTGTTTCAGGCGTACAACCATGTTGTCGGGGATGGTGGGTGTGGTATCTCTGCCCTACACTTTGACCCTGTGGAAGAGCTGCTGTGGATGGGAAACCAGGCCGGTCATGTGACCTCGTACTACGGACCTAACCTGCAGAAGTACACTTCCTTTCAGGTAGGAGACATTACGTCATTGATTGATTAATTGAATGGTTGGTTGATTAATTAATTGATTGGTTTGTTGATTGATTGATTGATTGATTGATTGACTAACATTTATTTCTATCCGCCTTCAGACCGGTGCCTTTAATATTTATTATTCACTGTTAAATAAGACAGACAGACAAACAGAGATTGCTACTTTATTTATATTTATAGATTCTTACTAAAACCTTCTTTAATTTTAGGTGAATGCAGCCGAAGGTGTGCGAAGCTTACATGCTTTTGATCGTGGTATTCTAGCCCTAACGCAAACTAGTTTGAGGTAAACCACTTATCCTTAAAAATCATTTTTTAATTGTTAAAAACAGACAGCTATATGAAACGGATAAACATTCAAACTCAAAACAAAAGTACAGCCTCATTCCAGAGTTGGCATGAAAAAACCAACCCAAAAAACCCACCCCAAAAAAACAACAATAAAACCACTTTAACAATCTCACATGCAACTTGCAAGTGAGTTTTATTGGTTTCTTTTAGAATTTTTCTAACTATTGCCCTTTTTCACTTTTATAATGATAAAATCTTCAAAAAATAAGGTCTACCATCAACTGTATCGATTTTTAGGGATTTTACAGCAGTAAAACTGAAACATTTTTTTTCATCACTAACTTTCAAAATATGTTGCGATAGAAAAAGGATATACAATACATACAATGTGTGAGTGATCCGAAGTTTTTCGGTATTTAAAAGTGGTCTTCCTACTTAAACTTATAAATATCTACCGATTATTCTCAGTACAAGTGAGAAAATAGAGGTAGTCCTAATTTCATATATAAGATAAAAAAATGCAGTATTCCCTCCCCCTATGAAGAAGGGAGGTGATATTATTGTATTTGAAGAGTATTTATTATGATAATAGATTATCACAACAATATTATTATTTATCATAACTATTAAGTTCACTATTGCTTACATATTATAAATTAGTATGAATTTTAGTAGGTTTCAACTTCTTTCAAATTGAAATCCGCTAAAAAGGCAAAATAAAAACGAATAAAACCCCCCCCCCTAAAAAAAAAATACAATGAAAACCGGTTTTTTTTCAACAAATAAACTTGCAACAGAACTTACCATGAAACCGAAATTATTAACATGAAATTAAACTAATGACCTAAAAAACAGTTAAGAAATGTTGATAATAATTAGAATAGGTATGAAGAAAAAAAATTATTTGAGAAATAAACAAAGTAAAACAAAAAAGTAAATGTTAGTCATACAAACAAATAATCAATAGACATAAATGCATAATAATTATCATTTAGCAAAGAAATAAATTTAAAAAAACAAGAATTAGAACAACAAGACAAACATAAATCTTAAAAAAAACATTTAAAACAACAAATAAAACTCCAAACAATTGAAGCAGTATTAAAAAATTAAACTTTAACCGCTTAGATGTCAGTTACGGCGTGGTATTCCTGTGTTTACCCACTCCTCTGTTAATATGCAGGAGATGCAGTGCCTTCTACAGATTCCCCAGGTACCCTCCTACACACTTTCAGCATTGATCCCCCCTCCAAATCAATTCAGGAGTATTTATTTCCCTGAAAAATCATTCGCCATAAATTAGCCTTTGTATTTAGGGTTTATTCGCTGAATTGTGGAACATAAATGATTATTAGGTGAAAATAAATAGTGTTTCGAGTAAAGTATGATAAAAGATGAATTAAATTNTGTACTTCTTAAAAATATACACCCTGGATCCATTATATCGACTTTGATGAAAATTCTTTAATTTTTTTCTGCGTCTTTATTGAATTTTGTTTAGCCAATGTTATGGTTTTTTTTTATTCGAGTTACGGCCACTAAAATTGTTGGCTTTTAGGTCAATTACGAACGATTCTGAATGCTTTTTTAGCTTAACTAGGATAAAAGGTTCATATGAATTTGAATTTTTAAATTAAATTTAACTAAAACTATTGAAAAAATTGAAAAAATCGCCAATATAATTTTAAAAATATATTTCACTAAAACCAGTTAAATATGGATACAATTTCGTCTACTTTAAACTTTGTTTTAGAGACCTAATCAGTTGTTGATGGGAGGCATACAAGAAAAGATTATATCCTTGGATCTAGAGAAGGTTAAAGAGATTCAGATTATTGATTCAGGTGAATAACTAGGTTTACAGCGGTTGACATTTTTCTAAATTCGCAAATCCATAAATTCGAACAAATAGTCTTGTTTAACCCTATCCCTGCTGGGGTACTTGAAAACCAGGATACGCTGGGGGGGGGAAGCCCCCATCCCATTTTTCCTTTAAAAGTGAAAATCTGGTCTGGTCAAGAATGAGTGATCCATGTTTTTTTTCTGAAATCAGATTATTATGTTCAAGTCAAAATGATGACGATATCAGCCAAGTTTTTGATCAGATAAAAATGTCAAGGGTATCGGTGTGAATCGGAAAATACGTCTTTAACAATCTCTTTACTTGTTCAGGAGATAAACTTGAAAATACGTCTTTAACAGTCTCTTTACTTGTTCAGGAGATAAACTTGAAAATACGTCTTTAACAGTCTATTTACTTGTTCAGGAGATAAACTTGAAAATACGTCGTTAACAGTCCCTTTACTTGTTCAGGAGATAGTTGTGCTGTAATGAGGTTTAATGGAAGATATGTTGGGTGTGGAGAAACTACAGGCAAAATTACACTCAGGTTGTACATTTATATTATTTAGGATCTGGATCCGCATTTAGTAAAAATCCGGATTCATTTCCAAGTTTCAGGATCCGGATCCGCGCCAATCATTTGCAGAATCAGGATCAATGCACACCTATTTTCCGAATCTAGAAGCCGCGGATCCGTATTTAAATTGATAAACCTCTAAACACTGAACTGATCTAAAAAATGCCAAATGAAATGTACAACTATTACAATTGCCGAGTTACTTATAAAATACAAAAAATAGTAACAGAATTTAAAGAAAAGAAAACTCACCCGTTCACAAAACAACAATTTTCGATCTATTCCGCTCTCATGCTATTCAAACATCAAAGCGCTCACTAGTAAATATTCCTATATTTTCTTTCAAGCTCAAACTTTAGCATAATTTAAAGGCAAAGTAATTTTTCTAAGTTTTTATTCTAAATTTTTGCTTTTCTTTAAGTATTTCAAATTTTGACCATGGCAGATTATATGCAAAAAACGATCCTAAAACGATCATGTTGTAACGATCCTTTTGGATCGTTACTCCAATTTTTATGAAAGATATTGCAAAGTTTAATAAGAACAAACTAACATATTACAATTTTGATATCTTGGAAGTTTTATTGATTTTTTCTAAAAAACGATCCAAACTGATTTACAATACTACTAGTAAATACTTCTACAGATGCATGAAATCAGCTAATTTTCGTAGAGATCCACACAACTTGTCTGTCTGCCACTCACTAGACACTCACAGTGGAACCCTGTCGGACTTCGACATGAATGGCCATCATCTCGTGAGCTGTGGATTCGCTAGGAGACATGGCAATCTTCAGGCCATTGATCGCTTTCTCATGGTCTACGATCTCAGGGAATAACAACAAATATTTGTTTCATTCACTCAAGGAACTTTTAACTTAATTACAATTCACCCCACCCCCCCGATTTAAACGTTGCATTTCCTATTCACAGCAGTACCATTAGTGCCTTTTATCTGTACCACAATGAGAAAGATATCGTCGTTTTTCTCTTAAAAAATCTATTAATAACAAATTTTAAGTTGTGTAAAAATGGGATATCTCAGTCACCTTTGAATAGACAAAGGTTTAGAGGGTACCGTTGGTAATCGGACATGCCACTCTTCAGATTGAGGTGAAACTGAAATTAGATCGAAAGTCACAATAAATTTGATTTTACAGTTTAAAAAAAAATTAAGAAATATTTGTACAGTTTTCTGACTCCAGGATCATGCGGAGTGTAAACCCTATTCAGTGCGTAGTTGAACCCTGTCAGCTTAGGTTAGTCAATAGTCCCATTATCCCCTCTTTTCCTTTCAGGTTTTATTTTTTTTCCGACAAAATTCATATCTTTCCCTTCGAAAGTTTGAAATTTATATTGAACACACAATCACATGTACTTACATCAAACTAAGGATGGGACAATTTCGCACTATTTTGATAATAATGTTCAGATCCTCTCAGCACGTTTCTTCAAAGTTTCTATAATTAAAAAGCAAAACAAAAATGTCCAATTTTTTATCACTTTCAAATTAATGCAGTGCATCATGTTTTTGTAAAAAATAAATCATTAGTGCAAGCAAAAATATTTTTATTTTCAAAATATGTCGATATGAGTACCAAACAGTGAATTCAAAAATGTTAAAATAGTAAAAATTGGTTCAAAATTTGACTAAGTTATAGATAAAAAACGGACTTTTCACAGAAAATTTGTCAGAATCGTCCAAACATAATAGTTTTTTGATCCTAGATCAACCAATTTTCACAATTTAAAAAAAACCCATAAACTGGGCAATATTCAATGGTTAGAGGCGCAACTTAGACACCGATATCACCATGTTTTAAAAATATTGAAAAATCAACCTCCCTCCCTTAGTGATTGTTGATTTTCAAAATTGCTTGAGCTGACACATTTTTTTAAATAAAAAAAGTCCTAATGTTTTTTTTTGTAAATTTAATTGAACAATTTTTGCTGCGTTGGTAATTTTTGAAGAAGACAAAATCATACTGTCCCAGGGTTAAATTCTAACAAGAAAAGGACAGCTAGACAACATATTACAGCACAATGTAGTTTCTTGTACGAATTGCATTATAATTGATGCAGCGTTTAGAATTTATAGATAATTTCATATTTGATTTGCACATAATTCAAATTTACAAGCAATAAGCTGCATTTTAAATATGTTTTGATACTTTATTTAGTCTGATCTTGTGCTCATTTTTACCTATAGGAGACCAGGTAATAACTACAAACATAAGAGCGAGCATGAACTCTTTTTCTTCGGCTCACCTCTATTTGCACTGATTAAATCTTATGTATATATTTCAGGTAGGCAGTTTATACAGGACTCAACCGTGAACTGAAAACACAATAAATCAGTCCAGGGTTAATTATATGCATGACAATAATAAAATTTTAGCCTTTAAAATAAAACTTTCTCCAGGTTAACTATTCAATTATTTATATAATGAGAAAATAAACTTACAATGTTGATTTGTCCAGAGGTTTGTAGCCTATAGTTCATTAAATTGCACTGTAGTCNCAGTTTATGTTTTTTTTTGGGGGGGGGGCGTTGGTATTTTCTGTAACTATGATTAGAATAAGGAGCGACTACAAATATTGTTATCTTCAGAATGAATGGGTTATCAGGAAATAACTATTTATATCACTAATATTTTGGTTCGCATTGTTGTTAAGTTTCGGACAAAAATTTTCTATTTATCGAGGAGGTTCAAGACTTTTCAGATTTTATTGTGTCCCTATACCTTTAGCAAGGGACCAAATAAAATCTCAATAATAATAATAATTACAATGTGTTTCTGTTTTGTTATTACATTCATAACATTTTTCTCGTTCTATAATTATTTTTTTTTATATATATTAGGTTCAGTTGGTTGATACAGCTGAGATGACAACAGAAAGCTTAGATATTTTCCAGGTTAGCATAGGTTATTATTTTTAGCATAGGCTGGGTTATATATGTTCAATGATTTTCATTGATCTAAACAAATTTAAAGTTCATACGTTTTCCTCTTTTATTTTCCCCTGTTCAGTAAATTATTTATTCAATTTTGATGGAATTTATCACACCTAATATTTCCCGTTGTAGGGTTATTTAGTGACTTTATCGCCCTACAACAGGGCGATTAAATTACTTTATCGACCTGCTTTTAAATAATTTGAATAAAACTATAGATGTTATTGAAATGGGTATCATGCGTGCGAAAAAGTTTTTGCTGTGATTTTATTTTTCTAGTTTGTTTCCGATTAGAAAAAAATCAAAATAGCGCGCCGGTCAGAATGCTCGAATATTTATTTTGACCTCAGAAATGAATTCCTCTTGTCAAATTACCTATAAATCGACACACAACATGTAAAAAATGTACTAAGATGACCCACAATGTAATGGTTGGCTACTAGCGCGCCGGTCAGAATGCTCCAATGTCTATTTTGACATTCATATCATGCGTGCGATAAAGTTTGTGCGGTGATTTTAAATTTTTAATCCCGGCAACAACTTTTTCGCCCCCCTTTATACCCATTACAATGACATAAATAGATAATATATTGAGTATAAATATTTAAAATCTCAAGCATTATTACATTCAAGTATTTAACTTAGTTCAGTAAAATTAAAAGATGTGCGTACTTTACAAGTAAATGATATAAAAAGAAATGTAATTTTAATTATTAAAAAAATTAGCTCGATACTGGGGGAGGTATGGCGCTAAGTTTTGATATATCTCCTTCGAACAACTGCGTGGCTTTTGGGGACGAGCACAGTGGCATTTCGCTTTATTCAGCTTCAGGTAATTCCAAGTTTTTTACTTTTTCGGAGGGATTTCCTTAAAGAAATAAATTTTTTTTAAGCCTTCTTTTTATTGTGATGATTGTTCCTGTTTAGCAAATTGCACGCTTAGAGGCTTTCTATGTTGATGGACAAGAAAAATTCACCTGTTTTTTTCAATCAATGATCACGTTAAAGATTCTTTACATACATGGGAGCCTAGAAAACTAAAGCTAAAATTGCATTTTTATTTTCGACACTCCTCACTTGTTCATGTCAGGGCTCCTAGCGGAGTATATAAGAAAATTTCTGATTGTTGTCATGATATTCATATGGTTGCATATATCACCTTAATATACAGAGTATATTATATTCAATAATTACGAATACCCAGTGAATCAAGATTAAAAATAAGGGACATTTATTTCTTTTTTTTGGTAAAGTTTTTATTTTTTCTCTTCCTTGACATTTTTTCTTTTTTTTTATTTTTCGACATGTTTTTTTAAAAAAAAATTCTTAGATTATTTTTTTTTCTTTTTTGGCCTTTCTGTTTTCTTTTAAAATAATCTTTTTTTTGGCTCTTTTGTCCCAACAAAATAAACTAGATTAGATTTTTTTTTACATATTTATCATATCTGGATTTAAAAGTATTTAACGTTTTGGTGCAGTTTTTATATCACAGGGTAAATCATTCCATGGAGAAACAACTCTTTGGCTAAAAAAATGTCTACGAATATCGGTTCTACAAAATTTGGCACTAAGTGAAAGAGGATTTTCTGACATTCTTGTAATTCTATTGGATGTATCTGCTAACATTGAAAACCAAGTACATTTATCAACATTATTAACACCATGTATAATTTTATAGGTTTCAATTAAATCATAGCGGAGTCTTCGATTTTCAAGGGATTGTAAATTGAGTTCTATTAGTTTTTCACTATACGATGAACGAGTAAGTTCTGAAACCATTGAGACCGCCCTTTTTTGCACTTAAATTTATTTCTGGAAATAAACTTCCTAATTTTTACCAGGAGTGACTGAGCCTACGTTTACCCTGTACCCCCGTGAGACTGAGTTCCCCCAGCCCCTGCCCGTCTACCCTTCCATGCGAATAGGAATGTGTGTCTTTTTGTGTTTTTTTTGTAAACATTCTTGGAGTTTTTATTTCAGAGAGACTTCATAAGAATCTGAGATGTAGGAACACATTACAAAATTGTGTTTTCGATATTATTAAGCTCTTCGCTCTTATACATATATATTTGTATGTATGTATATATTTATATATGTTAGCTATACCTGGCCAAACGGGAGCCATTGGATACCCTGGGGGTAACAAAGGCAAAAAAAATTGATTTTTATCTTTAAAAATCTCTTTTCTTCTTAAAATTTCGATTTTTTTTTCAGTTAGTATTATTTAAATATTTAAAAACGACGCCCATCCTTGCTTGCGAGTAGATGATATCAACGCCATCTATAGTTCTATTCCTCTACCTCATCTTCCGCCTGATCAAACTACGTATGCCAGCGATAATTGGCCGGAGAGGTATAGGGTGTCCCATATAAAATTTAGGACTGGGCGCGTTCAGACTTTTTTAAAGCCTTTCGTTAACATTTAGTTTAGAAGAGCCAACTGTTAACCACTTTCAAGTAGCCGTCCGTTCTTAGCAAGGAACTTAACGAATCATTTAACGGTATTTTTCATGCTTCCATTATTTTAAAACATGTTAGTTAGTTCTATTTTACTTCCGATCTTTTTCAAAAATAACGGTTTTTGCCGCCCAATGGAAATTTTTGAAAAATTCCAGGAGTAAATTTCTTTGTGAACCTGCATAAATAAATTTTAGATTAGTGGGGGATTCAATCAAAATGGTTGAATAACAAAAACAAGTATCCTTAATTTTTAACACCAAATTACCTGACATAAAATCAAATAGAATTTTTTTGATGTTGCATTTTTAAATTTCTAATTTATTAAGGTTTGCCCGACCTACCTTTAGAGCAGTTCCCTTGATAGAGGAGGAAATACTCAGAACAATGAAAAAAGTTGGATCAATAGGAAAGGTTTCAAAATCGTGTTTTAATGTGTTCTGAGCTGAAAACTTTAGAATGGTGGATATCGAGATCAATGCGTGATCTTCCCTTTTTCTTAATCTCAAGACTAACCTAATCTTGTACTTGTATCCTGAAAAGTGTATAAAATTCAACCAGAGAAGCCGGAAAATTTGAAATTTTGCGCGCCATTTAAGATTTATATAACAGAAACGGTAGGGACTCGCTAATTATGAAAACCTGTTTTTTTATTTTTCTGTACTATATCCTAAAAAAGAGTGGATTAAGCATGAAATTAAAAGTGTCCACATTGGATATTCGGATTAAGTAGTCGGAATTAAAGGTATCCCATTCTAAAGTTCCCAGCTCTGTTTTCTTTTAGTTAAGTTAATGCTTTGAGTATTTACCATTTACTCTTTGACTCTTACGTTGTCTATTGACTATACGGTTTGTACATAAACAAAGTGCCTCTGAAGTACTAGTTGATACCTTTTTTATTTTGTCTTATCGCCAATAAGGCATAAGATAGAGAGAACAATAGTGTATAGAAAAATCCTTACACAATATATACATTGTTTATAAATTATTCTTGAACCATGATAAAACGTAATGTTCATATATTTTAATATCTAGAAAATGTAAAAATTCTAACCTTAAAGATATTTCGGGATTTAGAATTTCTGCAAATTTGTGTTTGCCCTGGAACTTTTATTTTGCTATTTTTAACTGTTTCCAGCGTAGATATTTTTTGTTTCATTTTTAATTTCAAACTATTTTCAACAAATCTTAGATCTCGGTTCATTTTTAGCCAAAAAATCTGAGTTTGAGGTGAGCATATACAAGACATTTGTATTTCTCCCGTTAGCTTATGGAATATAGAGATGACTTTCAGACTCAGGCTAAAAAAATTTATATTACATAGAACACAGAAATTGTTTAGTGAATATTGAATACAGACCCGTTCAATCAGTAAGTTGAACTACTTGCATTATAACAACTTTCAATTAAATATAAGATTACTTGATTTTTGTCTTCATCTTCCACAGTTATATGGGTTCCTTGTAACTCTATCAAGTATGGATACTGAAAACCTTGACTGTAGGATATGCTCCCAACCTGGGAAACAAAAAGAGAAATGTTATTCAGTACAATCTCAAGAAAACTTCCGATAAGGTGAATTTTACCTTTCTAATTATTTGTTTTTAATATATTCCAAACTTTTAAACTAATTTTTAAAGTATTAAATATTTAATATTTCTGTGAAGTAAATTCAGGATAAGAAACATTTATATTTTATACCCTCTTGTTAGAAGCTTTGCTCCATTATCAACTGAATGTCTCCTGGTCTCCATTATATATACAGGAACAGGACATGTGGTCACTAATCGTGTTTTTACAGGAGAACAACCAGGACCTGAATCAATCCCACGAGGAGAATGCTGCGTACAAATCGTCCGTCCCTAAGCGGTACAAGAAGAACGACATCAAGCTTGGCAAGATGGGAGTGGACGATTTTGATTTCGATAATTTCAATAAAACCAGTTTCTGCGGTCTGGAGGCATCTCTGCCGAACTCCTACTGTAACGCCATGCTTCAGGTTCAGATTTGGTTTTTTTTATTGTTAATTTGTGAATTAATCGTTGACCCCAGTAAGTGGTGTATTGAGAATATCTGCGTAGTCAATAGATTCACTAATTAACTATTTCTTTCATTATTTTTACTCAAACTATGTCTCCAGCATATCGTTGTGTCTCTTCTCTAGCGATTGCATATCTAAAAGATTTTTTTAAAAGAAATGTTACCAAAGTTAAATAAGGTTTTAGCAACTTAAATACTCCCAACTAGATTCACTGAGAGATTTACTATTTTAAAATAGTATCAGTGAGTTTGTGAAGAATCAGAATATATTGCTACGGGTTCTAATTTTCACTTGAAAATCCTGTGTTGACTCTAGTCCTGTATTTAATTGAGCAGCTCTGGTTGATAATCCTGTGTTTACTCTAGGTCCTGTATTTAAATGAGAAGCTCTGGTTGATAATCCTGTGTTTACTCTAGGTCCTGTATTTAACTGAGCAGCTCTGGTTGATAATCCCGTGTTTACTCTAGGTCCTGTATTTAACTGTTCAGCTCTGGTTGATAATCCTGTGTTTACTCTAGGTCCTGTATTTAACTTAGCAGCTCTGGTTGATAATCCTGTGTTTACTCGGTCCTGTATTTAACTGAGCAGCTCTGGTTGATAATCCCGTGTTTACTCTAGGTCCTGTATTTAACTGAGCAGCTCTGGTTGATAATCCTGTGTTTACTCTAGGTCCTGTATTTAACTGAGAAGCTCTGGTTGATAATCCTGTGTTTACTCTAGGTCCTGTATTTAACTGAGAAGCTCCGGTTAATAATCCTGTGTTTACTCTAGGTCCGGTATTTAACTGAGAAGCTCCGGTTAATAATCCTGTGTTTACTCTAGGTCCTGTATTTAACTGAGAAGCTCCGGTTAATAATCCTGTGTTTACTCTAGGTCCCGTACTTAACTGTGCAACTCTGGTTGATAATCCCGTGTTTACTCTAGGTCCTGTATTTAACTGTGCAGCTCTGGTTAATAATCCTGTGTTTACTCTAGGTCCTGTATTTAACTGAGAAGCTCCTGTTGATAATCCTGTGTTTACTCAGGGTCCTGAATTTCACAGAGAAGCTCCGGTTAATAATCCTGTGTTTACTCTGGGTCCTGTATTTCACAGAGAAGCTCCTGCTGGATATTCTTGTGTTTACTCTAGATCCCGTATTTCACTGAGAAGCTCTAGTTGATATTCTTGTGTTTACTCTAGGTCCTGTATTTAACTGAGCAGCTCCGGTTGATAATCCTGTTTTTACTCTGGGTCCTTTATTTCACTGAGCAGCTCTGGTTGAAAATCATCTGCTTGCTCTAGGTCCTATATATCACTGAACAGCTCTTGTTGAAAATCATCTGCTTGCTCTAGGTCCTATATTTCACTGAACAGCTCTGGTTGAAAATCATCTGCTTGCTCTAGGTCCTATATTTCACTGAACAGCTCTGGTTGAAAATCATCTGCTTGCTCTAGGTCCTATATTTCACTGAGAAGCTCCAGTTGATATTCTTTTGTCTACTCTAGTTCCTATATTTTACTGAGAATCTCCGGTTGATAATCCTGTGTTTAATCTAGGTCCTATATTTCACTGAGAAGCTCCGGTTGATAATCCTGAATCACTTCTGCTCCAGGGAGTCTTGTTTAGCCTGCGAATTGTCTTATCTTTTTCACATGTTGGATACAGGTTGGTCCTAACTGGATTTTTATTTTTTAACAAATTTTTTGTATGGTTTTCAATTTCATTGACGGGTTTTAAGTTTCAATAATAATAATAATAGTACCAAAATATGTTATTCATTTCAAATATATTTATACAATAAATGAACATTTGGAGTTAATTTAAAAATTAAGAAGGATTATTCCTCTTTGAAACTTGTAAAATTTAACATTTTGTTGTTCATTTTCAGGTCTTCTTGGTATTTTTGAAAACATTTCCGCACATAATTTTTGAAATGACTTGAAGATATAATTTTTGATTTTGAATATTCCATAATAAATTCAGTTTATCCGAATCAGGGGAATATATCTTCATTTAAAACTAATAATTCAATGTAGGCCAGGGTATGCCTTGTCAGCCTGCCAATTTTCTCCGCTCATTCAGAACCATCCCTGAAGCCTCCGCCCTCGGCCTCATTTTTTCCGAGGCCAATTCCATCTCGCGTACCTCTGTGCCGCGCATTATTCAGTCCTGGAACCGGTTTATTCTCCAACAAATCCACCAACAGTGTACAGACGCCTCCTCACGGCGCAGCTCCACCCCTCCGCCTACCAGGTCGGCGGCCGGTCAGTTGGCGGCAACAGCTATGGATTGGTCCAGGTCAAGTCCCGCCAAGAAAACTCCAGATCCAGCTTCACTTGCGGAGATTGAATCTATATCCAAGGTATTACTAAAAAATGTCAAGTGTAAAAAAGAACAGTTTAGGTTGGTTTCTTAACAAATAAATTTCTAAAAAAAACTTTTGAAACAAATGTATGAAGTTTGAATTTATGCAATTTATTAACATCTAATCAAGTTTTAAAGGTTTTCTACCTAGGCTATGGCTGAAGTCCTCTCTAGTCCACAGAAGACAGACGACGGACCTGTGGACGACTCCCCCGTGGCTCAATTGATGGGGATGAAGCAGGATAAGATTACACGTTGCTCCAAATGTCACACAAAGACGATCACTGATAATCTTCTTCTACTGTGTAACCTGGTCTATCCAGAGCAGAGTACCCTCAAACAGAAGATTTCATTCGGAGAGATACTCTGTTCTAGTCTCTGCCCGGAGCAGGTTATTTAGTCTAGAATTCTAAAGGAGTGGGGATGTCTGAAAATGCCCCAAAGTACTCTCGATGCGAAACCCAATCATTCAACTAATGATCAATTGCTAAAAAAAATACGTTAATTGTTTGATTGATTGATTGTTCTAATGAATTTTGATTGATTGATATAAAATGAATGAAAGGTCTCGTTGAATTTTATTAATCCCTTGTTAAAAAATAAATATTACTAACAATTTCCCAGATTTTTCCGTTTCTATAACTGGGTTTTGAAAATTTTGAAAATAAAAAAAATGCTCCAAAGGCTTCTTTTTAAATAATGAAATGGAATGAGCTCTATGTAAACGTATCATCACATGTTATAGATTTGATGGCACTAAAATGTGTACATGTATAGGTCACCCCGGCTTGGTGTGAGAAGTGTAAGAAGTATCAACCCACCACCCAGTCTAGACGTCTCACCTGCCTCCCGCAGACCCTCTCCCTCAACGCTGGGATGGATAATCCCTCCGATATTTCCTTCTGGAACACCCAGATGCATCTTATCCTGGAGGATTCCGAGGTCGGACCTCCGAAATCGGAGGCTGGAACTGCGAGGTCTGAGAAGAGGTCAAACACAGTTAAACAGGTTGCTCCTCCTCATGGTAAGAGATCACATTGTTGAAATAAAGAGCTAAAAAATTTAATTCATTGTTTGATGTTTACTGCCAAATTTGCTTATTTGTCTTCTCAAGCGTCTAAAAAAAAATAAAAGGGTAATTAATTATTTCTAAAACTTGAAATCTAGTTTGCCATACTAAGCCTAATGTTGGTTTTTGAATAGTGGTTTCATTGAAAAGTAATTATATAAGTCAGTTATTGAAAGATTTGTCGAGTGAAACTTCAAGAAGTATTTATCATGCCATTTATGACCTTCTGGACTTGGGGACTGGCAAACATTATATTTTTTTGAAGCAGCTTTCTTTGAAATGAATATAAAAGAGGCTGAGGTCTCGTAGGTTTTTAACTTTCCTTTTCCTTTCTTTTTCCTTTGATTTCTATTTTTATAATTTTTTATAATTGGGGGGAAATATTCCCACAACCTTTATTTTTGGAGTTTTTTAAATATTTTCTCCTGAAACACTTACTTTTGTATGTTTTTGTTCTTTTTCATAAATAAATAATTACTTACTTACTTACTACCCTTTTTACAGTAGCTAATCTATTGACCAATCAAGTAAACTAGAGTTGTACATTGTACGTAAATTCAGGGCAGAAAGCTTGTCGGTACGCGGGCAGCTGTAGCCGATCAGATTGTAAGTTCTGGCACGCCGGTCAGGAGCTCTTGAAGGATCCAGCTCTAGATGTTGGAGATCAGTTGGCAAAGATAGACAAGTACTTCATTAAAATCATCATTCAATCCTTAACTTTAATAATAATATGAATTCATTCTTTATTTCATCTTTTGATCCATAATTTACATAAAGGCTGTCCGAATCTTCATAATTTTATTCAAAGTTTTATAATTTTATCCAAAAATAAAAAATAAACAAATTTTTTTGTCCAAAAAATTTACAATTTTATCTTAAGTTTCATATTAACTATTAAAAAAATCACTAGTTAATCAAATCGAAATAGGAATTTAATCCAAATTATTTATTGAGGAGTGATAACTTATGAAGAGGATTGATTTCAATCTTAATTAACATTATGCTTGTTAAGGTCTTGGGTTCCATTCGAGTTGACCCTTCACTTAGCTTCAGATGGGTCAGTTCACACCTCACAGGAACTTTTGAAATATATTTTAATTATTACTTTTTTTCATGTTGAAAAATTGCGATGGATTTTAGTGATAATTGATATATAATTGTTTATATTCATCTTAATGCTTACCAGGGTATAGATACTGGAGTTTTAAAGGTTTTCTACCTAGGCTATGGCTGAAGTCCTCTCTAGTCCACAGAAGACAGACGACGGACCTGTGGACGACTCCCCCGTGGCTCAATTGATGGGGATGAAGCAGNATTAAATAAAATGTAATATATTTGATGTTTGAGTAGAGTAAACCTGGTATAGAGTATATCCAGTCTCAGACCTACCTACTCTACGCAGTTTGCTGCTGTATTGTAGATCCGGTTAATCCGGATACAACCAACCTAGTATCATGTGTCAAGGTATAATCTATTAATCCATGTCCGTCTTAAAATGAATTAATCAATGAATCCGTCTTAAAGTAAATCAATCAATTTATCCATCTTAAGATAAATAAATAAATCCATCCATTTTAATATAAATAAATCAATCCATCCATCTTAAACTAATTAGTCAATCCATCTATCTTAAAAAATAAATAAATCCATCCATCTTAAAATAAATCAATCAATCCATTCATCATAAAATAAATCAATCAGTCCATCCACCTTGAAAAAAATCAATCAATCCGTCTTAAAATAATTCAATCATTCAATGTGGATACTTCAACCTTTGTTTCATGCCTCCAGGTTATTCGCTCATCAATCTATCAAATCAAACAGTACATTAATCCATCAAATTAATAAAACAACCTGTCAATTTATCAATATACAAAACAACTAATTCAACCAATCAACAAATTGATGAATTGTTAAATAATCAGTTAATGTAAAATTATTTATTCAGAAGATAATTTATGAATCAATTGAGGGTTTAATCGGACAACCATTGCTATAAAATTTCAAACATTTATGTTTTTAGTTTTTCCACTGTCCAGTGATTATAGCGTTAGATCCGCAACATTTTGACGTTCTGGATCCGGGTCTAAGAAGCAAAATATCAACCAAAACCTGAAAGATAATTAAAGTTTCCTAACTTCTGAATGGAGCATAATATTGAGCGATAAAAGAAAAATTTGAGAGTTCTTTATGTGTTTTAAAAAATTCGGTAAATCTTAGCATTAGTTTTGCCAGTATGCTGTCCATTTTTGCACTGTATTCACTAATCAATATTCATTTCAGTTACATTTAATTTGCTAACAAAAGATAATGTTGAAAATTTTGATCGTTATTTATGCATATTAACAATGATAAAGAATATCTAAAAATGTTTAAAATGGAAGAAATAAGTGTTTTTCACGGCGTTCATGAACAAACTCTACTCAGATCAAACAAACATCATTGCTCGATCTACGAACTGATGTACATGTGCACATTTTTTCTATTTTTGTTTATCTTGTGTGAGATAATGGAGGTGCTTCTAGAACCCGATCACCGTGGACGTTTTCAGCGAGGACAAGAGCTTGTTGCAGAAGGCCGGCGGGAAGCGCATCACCTTCACCCCGTTAGGAATGGAGGACATGCCTAAAAAGGTTAAATATTTTAAAACTAGTTTTTATTAATTTGTTTGATTCGATATTATGTCCCGTATTACGAGTTGGATTTTTTACCCAAGTACAGGGTGTCCCACATCGTTTATAGCTCAAAATTATGATTTTAGGGACTAATTATAATTTTATAACATTTATTAGATTATTTTATATTTTATTAGGAGGCAGTTTGGTTTAATCTGAAGTGGAAAATACCCTGTGTTCTTTGCTTCACAGCACAGACATTAACCCCTCAACTGCAGAGCTTAACCTACAAGGAACATAATCTTACATCACACTTTAAGCAAAGCTGCATTTTTTCAATCTTTATTTTAATCATAAAAGAGCTATTGAGAAGAACCATAAATGAATAACAATACAGATTGAACACTAAATGTCGTCTTTTCGATATTTAGGGGTTTTTCGTTCACAATAACCCTAAGACAGAAGCCCAAGGAAATATATACATGCCGCATAGAACAGGTTCTCTGTCTTGTAGCTCAACGCGGCATGCGCGTAACTCCTTTGGGCTACTGCCTCAGGGTTATTGTGAACTAAAAACCCCTAAATCTTGAAAAAACGACATCTGATGTTCTATCTGTATTGTTATTAATCAATGCATGAGAAAAATAATCTCTATATTGCAACAAAATAAGTTGCTTTTCCTTACTTGCGCGGTTAGACAGAAATCTTACATCGATCAAAACTAAGAGTTATTGAGGAGAACAAAAAAGTTTTGAATTTATGTAATTTAATCAAATAGCCATATAATAACTCATCTTATCTAAGAGTTATTGAGAAGAACAAACAAAATTAATTTATATTATTTAACTAAACAAGTTTGCTTCTCTCTTACTTTTACGTAAAATCATAAATAGAGGAGCTACGACGTCGCAAAGTCGTACGAGTATTATTGCTTAGATTGGACCTTTTTCTTCTGTCTAGTGGAATACGTTAAGTATAAACCTAAATATGCGTTTCAGAATCACACAGTCAAATTAAAAATACTTAAATTTCATAATCACACAGTCAAATTAAAAATACTTACTTTTCATAATCACACAGTCAAATTAAAAATANTACTCTCTTTTTTTAGAATCACACAGTCAAATAGAAAATACTTACATTTCATTATCACACAGTCAAATAAAAAATACTTACTTTTCATAATCACAGTCAAAAAAAAAATATTTACTTTTCATAATCACACGGTCAAATAAAAAATACTTACTTTTCATAATCACACAGTCAAATAGAAAATACTTACATTTCATAATCACACAGTCAAATAAAAAATACTTACTTTTCATAATCACACGGTCAAATAAAAAATACTTACTTTTCATAATCACACGGTCAAATAAAAATACTCTTTTTTTAGAATCATACAGTCAAATAGAAAATACTTACTTTTCATAATCACACAGTAAATTAAAAAATATTTGCATTTCATAATCAAACAGTCAAATTAAAAATACTTACATTTCATAATCACACAGTCAAATTAACATCTCATTATCACACAGTCAGATTAAAAATACTTACATCTTATAATCACACAGTCAAATTAAAAATACTTACATTTCATAATCACACAGTCAAATTAAAAATACTTACATTTCATAATCACACAGTCAAATTAAAAATATTTACATTTCATAATCACACAGTCAAATTAAAAATTACTTTCTTTTTTTTAGGAGCACACAGTTAAATAGAGGATACTTACATTGCATCACACAGTCAAATTAAAATATTTACATTTAATAATCACACGGTCAAATGAAAAATACTTTCTTTTTTTTAGAAGCACATAGTCAAATAGAAGATACTTACATTGCATAATCACACAGTCAAATAAAAATACTTACTTTTCATCATAAGTGGAAATGGGTTATTTGGTGGGTGGGGTGGGGGAGAGGTTTATAAATTAAAATCATTTGTTTGTAATGGGGGAGGTGGTGCTGCATGGGGGCGTTAAATCTTTTTAAAATGAAATCTGTTTTCGACGAACTCGCCTGTTTTACTAATGCCATTTTTTTCATATTGATACACTTTCTCTACCGGAACTGGAAATCTCTCTTTCAAACTTTTATTGAACAAAAACAAATCATGTTTTTAACAATTCTGATATCTAGAATTTGGCATAGAAGCGTTTTAAATGCATACTTAAAGACTTTTTAAATAGAAGAATTGAAAAAGGCTTCTCGTCTGAAATTAGAAAAAATGGAATGAAATGGAAATAATGCTGTATTGGCAAAATTATTTATACATTATACGTATCTTTGTGTTAAGACGTAGTAGGTGTTTATTGTGCAGATTCCAAACTGAGAATTTGGCAAAGAAGCTTTATCTAATTTATAATTTTGAACCTTTACGAACTAAATGCAAAGAAGATTGAAGTCGTGTCTTAATTAGATTTTTGGTAAAATGTTGAATTTTTTATATTTCAGGGTGATTTAATCGCTATCGACGCCGAGTTCGTAACTCTGAACCAAGAGGAGGCCGAGCTGCGCAGTGACGGTAAAGTCAGCACAGTAAAAGCCGCGCACATGTCTGTTGCGCGAATCACGTGCGTGCGCGGTCAGGGACGCCTTGAAGGTGTTCCGTTCATAGACGATTATATCTCAACTCAGGAACAAGTTGTGGATTATTTAACTAAATTCTCTGGAATTAAACCCGGAGATCTCGACGCTAACTTCAGCTCAAAACATTTGACCACGTTGAAGTCTACCTATCAGAAATTAAGGTTCCTGGTGGATACAGGCGCCATGTTTGTTGGACATGGATTAAAGAATGATTTCCGTGTGATAAATCTGGTTGTATCCAGTGATCAGATCATTGATACTCTCTACCTTTATCATCTTCCACATAACAGGTTGGAAGGAGGAGAGGGAGCTGTTTAGCCAGGGGTATCAAATTTGATTGTCCACTTGAAGGATTAGCCTTCCCATATGCATATTTATCGTCTTTGAGAAGGAAAATTGTATAAAACTGTCAATATTCCTGGTCAAGGGTCAAGTTCTTAGCTGACAACATTACCATCTAGGCACTAATTCTGCATATATTTTATGATTCAGATTGATTGAAAATTTGTTTAATGTTATTGATTTAATAGATGTCATGGTACTTTATAGCCTCTCAATTTGCATTTTTTCATTTTCAAATTATCGATAACTTCTTAAATTTGCATTCACCTATATCATGTTTGTTAGATATGTCTCACTGAAGTTCTTGGCGTGGTATTTTCTGAAAGCAACTATACAGGGAGCTACTCATGATTCTATAGAGGACGCCGTCACATCTCTCAGGTTATCTTCTATATATAAATTTGGCTTGTCTGTCTGTCTGTCTGTTGGTATCCAATAAACGTCAAAACGGCTGAACCGATCGGGCCCAAACTTTTTGTGGGACATCACGTGACCACAGGTAAGGTTTATGAATGATAAAAATTTTAAAAAATGTGTTCAAGTTCTAACATAAAAAAGCGAGAAAAAAAAATAAAAAATAAAATTTGACAATTCTGAATTGTTAAAAAAATCAATTAATCATAAAGAAATGTTCAACCAAATTAAGCAATGGAACTCGGACACAAACATTTTTTCAGCTTTCCCTCCAGAACCGGTTTATTTTCCACCAAGTTTTCTCCATAAATCGACAGATATCCCCACCTAGAATTGGTAATTTTGTGTACAAGAAATTGGCCGGGTTTCCCGGCCCTCTAGAATTGGTAGATTTCTCATAAAATAAAACGTGTGACCATATATATACTGTTTCAGGTTGTACAAGAAGTTTCTCGAGATGAAGAGAGAGAACAAGGTGATGGAGAACCTCACCAGGATGTACGAGGTTGGGAAGGAGTTGAACTGGAAGGTTCCAGACCCTTGACAGCAGTTCCAATAGTCANTATATAATAGACCCTAGGGCCTATATTTTGTTATGTCCCAATATTAATTAATGCCTCCAGAGTCCAGGACCTATACTTTGTAATGTCCCAATGTCTTACGTCCCAATTTTTCTATGTCCAAATGTTTAATTCTCTATGTCCTACGTCCCACTGTCCCAATGTCCTCTTTCCAATTGGTCCCAATGACCCTACGTCCAAAACCCTCTGTCCCAATGTTCTGTTTCCCAATACGTGCAAATTGATACAAGAGACATTTGTTGACTTTGACTGACGTGCTAAATTGCTTGATTTCTCAAGAATGGTTTATTTAACTTTCAGAAAAAAACACTAACAATTTTATTCTGAATTTTTTTTTTAAATTATTTATAAGATATTTTTTGACATGTCCTCTCTTCGTCAATTCGTCAAGGAAAAGGGAGAAATCCTATTTGAATAGAATTATGTTTTGAAAATTTCGATTTTTTCTCTTTTTTCCTTACTTCTTAATCTGGAGCCGGGGAGTCACATGTCATACTGACTTCACTCGTCTTCTCTCTCACAGGTCAGTCAGGTCCGTCATATGGAGGTCAGGGAAGTCAGGGAGGTGGTCAGCCTGATACCAAAATGCTGTTGCAGCAGATTCAACAGCTTCAGAAGACGGTGATGCAGTTGCAGGCCGGTCAGAACAACGGTGGCGCAGCAGGATCAGCTCAAGGCGGTGGGTCGGAGGAATATCCAGGATATAGTGCTAACGACGGGGCTTGGGGATCTTACGGAGGTAGTGGAGGGTGTCAGTCCGGCGGTTATGGATCTGGAGGCGGTTACGGAAATTCATACGGCAGTGGTGGTGGATATGGTCCTAATTCTGGCTTTGGTGGTGGTTATGGATACAATAGCAGCGGCGGTGGACATGATCGAAGCCCATCTGTTGGTTCGAAGAAACCATCCAGCGGAGTCAAGAATAACGTTGCGGCGGAAGATATTCCGTCGACGGAGCAGCGGGTAATCCTAGTTAGCAATATCCCTAGAGCGTTATCCCACCCTGACGCTCTGTACCACGCCTTCAAGGGGTTTGGTGGGGTGGAGCGAGTCAAGATTCTTCACAACAAAAGGAACACCGCTCTTATACAAATGGCGTCCGCATCTGATGCACAGAGGTACCATTTATGAAGATTTTTGTTTTTAATAGTTATTTTATCTTAACCAGATCTTCAAATGTTTCTTCTTAGCCTTTCTTTTTCTTTGTTTTTACTCACTCTTTAGACGTTATCATATTTGAACGTCTAAATCTGATATTTTAGGTTAGAATCCGTAACCGTCAATTCTTTTTTGATATTTATGTATCTAGTTTTTACTCTCCAAAAATTGACGCATCTTTAATAATGACATTTTTTAAAGACGAAATTTCATGAAAGTGTATTTTATGGATCGATGCCTGAACACTAAAAGTATCTCCAAGCATTACTTTAACAGTCGACAGTCCCTTTTAACAGTAAAGGACTCCTTCGAGTGTTCTTGGCGTTGTATTGATTGATTGATTGATTGATTATTTGATTGATTATTTGATTGATATCTAGGGCTGTGAAAGAGCAGGAGATGTTGAATAGATCTGGGACGGATATCTTCGTCAGCTTCAGCTCCAGGTTCAGGGAAGTGTCTCTCCCTGATCCTGGAAGTGTTCATGATGACGGACTAACCAAGGAACATGAACAACTCATCACATTTTTAAATATTTTCATAGAAATGACTTACTTTTCCAATTCAACTCAAGAATTTTCCATACTTGCATCAAACGTCAATTATCTAATTCTTATAAATTTGTAACGCGATGGTGTAAAACTTTGATATTTCTAACTTAGGGTGTTTGATCTTGTTGACATTATTGTTCGAAATATCGCAGGTCTTTGACATCAGGTTGCCAAGGATTATTAATTAAAGCTTAAGGCAATTGTTTAACGCAAGCCCAAAGGAGTTACGGATATGCATATTGCTTACTCTCTCTATCTTGTCATTCATCTCTCTATCTTGTCTATCTTTGGGCTTCTGCCTCAGGGTTATTGTGAACGGAAAACTCCTAAATCCTGAAAAGACAACATTTAGTATACCTATTATTGTTAATTATTCTATAGTTATTATTTTTGAAAAAAAAAGATCTCTAATTTGTTCTTGAGTTGATGATGGTCTTAGGATTTTACTGGGCTTGTGACAGGATTGCGTACTATACCCAAGAATGAGAGAGCTATGCAGGAACGTTGGTGTATGTCAATATTTAAATGTTTTAGGAGAATTGCAAGCTAATCGAATATAATGATGGTAAAATAACAGATTTAAACCAGAATTGAAAATATTTCATCTACTGTCTAAATCTGATCAATATCTGCCTCAAAAAGTATCTAAGTCCATTCATAAAATCTGCCACAATGAGTATCATAGTCCAAAATATTCGCCACAAAAAGTATCTTGAGCCAATAATATCTGCCAGAAAAAAGTATCCAAGTCCATAAAATCTGCAACAAATATTTTCTAAGTCCATAAAATTTTGAAAAAAAGTTTTACAGTCCGAAATATGTGCCACAAATAGTATCTAAGTCCTTAAAATCTTACACGTACCACAAAATCTGTAGACAACCCCTTCGTACAATTTTACATACAACGTGTGATTAGGGATATGGAAGAAACAGTATGGAGCCCATGGATGGAATGTATGGGGGTGGGATGATGGGAGGTAGAATGGGATATGGAGGTATGGGTGGAGGTATGGGTATGGGTATGGGTATGGGTATGGGTGGAGGTATGGGTATGGGTGGAGGTATGGGAATGGGAGGAGGTATGGGAATGGGAGGAGGTATGGGAATGGGAGGAGGTATGGATGGGATGATGGGAGATATGGGCCGAGGCCAGAATAATGTTGTCCTCCTAGTCTCAAATCTTCCGGACGAGGTCAGTAGAGGACCATGAGTATTTTTTTACATTGCTTAATATCCATTTAACAATTTGATCCGGATCCGGATCCAGGATGTTTTTTAACAGAGAGTTGTCAAATTATATTTCTTCTTCTTTTCGCTTATTTTATGCTAGAACCCATTCAGAAATCAGGAATTTTTGTAATCTCCCCTTTTTTTGTCGGCAAGACTTGAAATTCAAACCTTCATTTGGGAACCTTAAGATTTCCCTGCAAAATCTTATTTGAAGTAGAGCCCAAGGGCTTTCCAAAAACGTATCAAAAGTTATAGATTTGAATTACAATAAGAAAATAAAGGAGGGGGGCATTTTGACCCTCCCCCCCCCTCAGACAGCCAGTAGGCAAATCAAACGTCACACTAACTAGGGTTAATATACTTATCTGATGAGAAATGAATATATTCTATTAAATTCTATTCCAAGTAGATAAATGTATTTTATTATTTCTTGGGAACAAAAATGTGTAATAACTTAAAACTATTATAGGTCGCCACTTGTGATTTGGTATTTAACATGTTGGGAGCATACGGAGATGTGGTTTGCGTAAAGATTTTGCGTAACAAAAGGGACTGTGCGCTGGTACAGATGGCAAAACCGCATCATGCTCAACAGGTTAAAATTTAAAATAAAAAAATTGGTCTTTAGAAAATATTTTAAAACAAATATTTGTTAGGTTCGGAACTACCTTGACCAAGCTAAGATTGGTGGGAAGAAGTTGTGTATTTCCAACAGTAGAGTAGACAGCCTCCTTAACAAGAGGCTGATAGAGGACGAGGGACTTCAGAAGGATTATTCAAATTCAAGGTAAACTTAATAACATTGGTTTTTATTTGGATGATCATTCTGTTTGGACGAATAGTTCATTTATTCTTATCCAATAGTTCCTCCCATTTTATTATCCTCTATCCATGTAATAATGCTACTCCATCAATGTAAAAGAAATAAATTTTGTAGATAAATATTGATGATACAGGTTTAACTAATGATTAAAGTTTAATTCAATTTAATCAAAAGTTTAAATGCTAAAACCACCTTGATCAATCTTAGACACTAGAAGAAAAAGAAACAAAAATAAATAAGCAAACACTAATAAACAAACAATATTAAACAAACAATAGTAAACAAACAATTGTAAACAAACAATTGTAAACAAACAATAATTTACAGACAATAGTAAACAAACAATAATTAACAATAATAAACAAAAAACAGGAAACATCAATAAAGAAATAACAATTCTGAAAAAGAATGAAAACCGAAAAGAAAGAACATTAAGAAATAAAAAAACCCAGAGCAACGAAAAAAAAAACAAATTAACAAGAAAAGTAAAAACAAATGAACAACAAGTATAACAAAAACAAAAACAAAAGCTCAAGCAGTATAACATAAAGAATAAACTACAAGTTTAAAACAACAACAAAAAGAATAAAAAGTAAAAGATCAAGTTAAAAAAGAAAGAAAAAATAAATGAATGGATTATTTAAGTAATTTTTATTTCTTTTTAGGCAGCACAGATTCAGGAATCAGGGGCAAGCAATGAAGATCCAGAGGAACCTGGGGCCACCAACCTCTGTTCTTCATGTAGCTAATATACCTGATGGATACTCACATCTAGATATCAAGGTACCCCCCTCTCCCTTCATGTAGATAATATACCTGATGGATACTCACATCTAGATATCGAGGTACCCCCCTCTCCCTTCATGTAGCTAATATACCTGATGGATACTCACATCTAGATATCAAGGTAAACCCCATCTCCCTTCATGTAG